AATAACGCAAAAAAATAAACATTTTCGTAAAAAAAAATTAACGAAATTTCGTTCATTTTTTTTTACGAAAATGTTTATTTTTTTGCGTTATTTCAAAAATTTTTCGCAGTATTGAATTAAACAGCACAAATTAATACGTAATTGTAAATTTAACATAGAAATTCACTATAATTCGTATGTAAGCTTTTATTTTTGAACAAATATTTTTTGTTGCAAAAAATAACGAAACGCGAAAAGAACGCCATGTTGTTTGTTGTTGTTTACTGTTTGATGTATGCATCAATTAGGATTTTGCGTTTTTGCCTGGTTTTAAGTTAAATTTAGTTTCTCATATAACACAGGAAGTGGGGAGGGGTTTGGGGGTGGGTTTTTCCCGCTAGGGGTTCGGGGGGAGGGGTTTACCCCGCTCTTTGGTGCGAAAACACGATTTTTTGAGGTTATTTTTTTCGAATTTTCAAAAATTAATATCTCGAAAACTATTAATTTCCTAACTTTGAAACTTTACACGAAGGGTCCCCTCCCCTCCCCCCTTCCCCCCACCCCCCTCCCACCCCTCAAATCGTGCGATGGTAATGTACAGTCCTTCCAACTGAATACTTAAAATTAAAATATTGAAGGTGAATTTGTAAAATAATAACAAAATAGCCTTGAAGTTAAGAAATAAATAATATTTATAATAAAAATAATATTATATTTTATATTTATAATTATTTTTCATTTTCTACATCACAATCTATTCACTAAAGAATTGGGCATGGCTCTGCCATGCTTTAGCTCATCTTAGCTGCTACTGGTAGATCCTCATCATCATGTTGCGCAGCCATATCACCTGGTGGGGTTAATTTGGCATTCAATGCAATTTTATTCAGCGCACCACATGTATTTACTATTTTACTGGTGACTTGGAGATGTTAATGAAGTGTTCAGTGCTTAAGTAAACAGCTTCAATGTGTCTTCAGCAAGCCAAAACACTGTTCAATACAATTTGTGGCCTGGATATGACGCCTGGTGTAATTCTCTTCTGGTGACCCTGATGCAGCATTTAAGATAGGCAACATTAGCCAGGCTCTTTGTGGGTATCCAGAATCACCTAAAACAATTAGGATTGTTTAAATTAACAATTAATCATAGGAGGCAGGCAGTTGACAATTTGTTTGTAAAACTTAAAGCTGTTTTTGTTATAGGTCTAAATGTTTAGACTAACAACAAAAATATATAGATTACGCAAAAAGTAGTTATGTATAAATGTTCAATTTTGTTCCTTACCTAATAGCCTGTTTGTTCACCATTTTTTTTCTTTCTGTGTGTTCCACTTGCCTGGATGACCATATAAGAGTCATGTATGGCTCCACCATACTTAGCATCGACATTAAAAATTTTTAAGTTATGATCACAAATCTGTAAAATAGACAAATTGTTAGTTGATACAGAGATAAATACCTATGCCATTCAAAATTTGCGAATTAAACAAAGTAACTAAGTAATTAACTTCAGCATGTACCTTGTACAATTTCAGATTTATATTAACCCTTCAACTAACTGTGCAAAAATCACAGGACAAACAATTTCAATTTTAATACTAAAATTATCTTGTCAACCAACGAAATGTGTAATAGGCTAAACCTTACCATTTGTACATTTAATGAGTGGTATACTTTTATAAAAAAGATGCTCATCTACCATGGACTTCACAATGGTTACATGGGTGCAGTCAATGCACCCTATTACACCAGATAAATGAAATCTTATTTGGAACCTGTAAATTCATTAATAAAATTGATAAAAGTGTAATGGTACAAATACATTATCATTAATGTGTTATTTTACTGAAATGTCACTTACCTCTGGGCTTAACTTGTTGCGTTTGTGGGAACACCCATTTACTTATTACATTCGGATGATTGAGGGCTTCCACAACTTGCCTAATGCAACGACTAGTTGTTCGCTGCAGCAAATGTTGCGAGACACACACGATCCACTGTTAAGAGCCCGTCGCCTCAAACTCAAGGCACAAAAAACCTACAAAAACAATATTTTTGTTATTATAACCTCTGGTAGTTGGTACCCATTAATATTACACTTCATATTACAGCAGTAGGCATACTTTCTTTACCTTAACTTCCAGTAGAAATGCTACGGTTCCTCTCAAACAGGTATGGGCCCGTAGGTGGAGACAAATGCTCGTTTATCCAATCTAAATGGTTCCCGAAACATAAAATCGGCATTTCGCCGATTTGCTCCAAGGACCGCCGAGAAACGTTTCTTTTTTGACGCCTGAGCCACACTTCTTCATTATGAGCAGCCCACAAGAGTCGAAGCGAATGCATTTCAAAGTTATTTATAAAAATTTGCACAAACACAACACAAAACTTCACCAGCTGATTATAAAATAGCCATTTCGTTTCGTTTTCTACAAGGTGTTGGCGATCGCTTCGTAATCGATCGATGGAATAGATAGTGAGCGTAAGCGATTGTCAAAATTGCCACTTTGGCTACGGTTTATATGGGAGTTGTCGTACGAGTTGGACGTTCCGTTTGATGGAATAGAAAGTGATTAATATTGGCTACCAATTAATCGTTCGTTACCCTACATCACGTGACATTTCGTACGCTTATGTCAATCCCATACATTGTCTTTCTATTCCATTGGCGATATCGCTAAGAAAGACACGTTGGCTAGGCCCTCTGACACGGAATCGCTTGAACAGTTCAGAAAAAGCCATCTAATAAGAATGCAAAAGACGTGACGTCAAAAGATGTTGTGCGTCTCGCGTCGGCAGTCCGAGCGGCAGCGAACCGCACAACCTCAAGTCGATTCCGCTCGATGGTGATTCCCAGCGAATTTATATAGTAAGGCTAAGTAGTAAGATTATCTATGCGAGAACAGCAATATGTCGCTTTTGCTCAAGTCGCGCTCTGTCATGCTAGCCGTACAGATCAACTCGTATGAAATCGAGAGTAAGTAGCAATGTACAGGTTCAAGCAACAAAGGTAGATCGTCTCGTGCTGCCGGTGGTAAAAAGTGAAAGTTGTATTGCTTTATGATAAGCTATTAGATACCTTCCGCCAGTGCGACGTCCTGTCAATGATACTGTTTATTTTTGTTGAAAATAAATAATTGCGGGTGAATTATTAATGCGTGCGTTTTTGGTTAATTTATGAAAATAATTGTTTCAGTGATTTTAGGTGTTTTAATTGATTTAATTTTTGTGGTTCGTGTATTTTTCATGTGCGAGACAACACAATATTATTATGTTAATTCAATGTTGCACAACGGCTTTTCTATTTTGAAAATATCCACTCTTCGCCACTGTCTATTTCCTTAAACATTTTGTGAAAGATTTTAAAATATATTTGTTAAAAATGTGTCGGTTAATTTGTTGTTAAAATTTGTTTATTTTATTTTCAGCCCAGTTGGTTGCGCACTAAGGAGTTTTGGGATAAAAGCTTCGAAGATCGATATGAAAAATATCGTAATGACAGTCGACGGCCGATGTTAAAGGTAAAAGAGATTGAAATTGAGCAATTTAACACTGAAAGACACGAAAATCGTAGATCTTCTTTCCCAAAAAACTTGTCTCCATAAAACTTTGCATTCTCGAGAAATCGTACTGATGAATCGAATCCTGTCGATTGATATAACCATCGCGTTGGCGACCCGGGCGAAAGCGAAACGCGTAATGTCTTTTTCGCTATTAGTAGGTACCTACCTACATGGACAAAAAGATTTTTCTAGCCAGCTTTAGCGAATGTGTGAATTTAAAATAATAAATACATGAAAGCTATTAGTTTCGTAATGATAATTTAGTTGGTAGTAGTAAAATAATTTTATAACCATCAATTTGAAACTTTACCCTATAGTAACAATTAAGTTTGAGATTATGCCTTTATTTAATTTTTAAATTTATTTTTCTTAAGACTATGTAGCAGTCTTTATTTTTCATTGAAATAATTTAAAAAGTTTGCATATTCGATAAATGTTTTTGGTTCAAAGTCGTCTTGCCTATATTTTGGTGACAAGACCATTGTTTGGTGCAGTTTATGTCCTTCAGTTCTAATCATGGACGAATAACTTATGATGACGGCTAATCTTAGTACTACAGATCGTAACTCTGAAAAAGGTCAAAATCCCGTCTTATATCTAGCAGATAACTTATAACGCAGATAAATTAGTCTGTAAGTAGTTTATGTTATGTAAATGGAAATAGTTTCATTTTAATGTTCATTACTTCTTAATGCTTTTATTACATTGTATGTTCAGTTAGTCAGATTATAATGTATATCTATTTGCTACCATCTGTTATAGATTTAATATAATGCCTGTGCTTTTTCTACGAGCGCCTTTGGGTCTTCCACATTATCAATCAGTTCTTACTAGACCTCTGTCACAGCCTTGTACTCGTACATTTTTCGGAACGATTGTGGCAACTGTATCCTGATAGTTTTGTGCTATATACACTCGTGTATACAATCCAGCGCCAAATATCATACTAAATTTCAACAATGAGAATGGCCGTGGATGTAAATTAATTCCTCATTAATATAAAATATATATGTATATCTTAAATATATCTTAAAATATATATCTTAATAATTGAACTTTGACAAATATGCGCATCAATAGATGGCATTGTGTTAAAGACAGTTCCAATCCATTTTAAACAAAACGCAAACAAAACTTTGGTTAAAATTCTAAGGCTATCAATAAATTCTAAAGTATACAAACTAATTTATAAATGAATGCTAACACGGGTAGATGGCACTAATCCTAAACAAAATAATAGAATTGCCGGCAGTATCCATAAAAATCTGGGCAATAAGCCCATTAAGTTGATTTGTTTGTTATCACTAGAAATCTGTCGTCCACTAGCTAAAACGCGGCTACGTGACAAAATATTTTTTTGAGATATAATTAAAAACCATAACCCAGTTTTAGAATATTGAAATTGTTTAATGATATTTCAGTTATACATCGTTAAGGTAAGTTCCGATAAGTCGAACACGTTAACTCATTTTAACTGTTTTTAAAATTTTATGCTCTATCTTTTGCTTTTTAAAACGTATATTTGATCATTTGTCACTTGGCAGCGTTTTAGTTAGTGGACGGCAGAAATTAGTGTAGTTTTGGTAAATATAAATACCAGGTCGTCAATGTAAAGCAAATTAGTTCGAAAATAGCTATTTGGTGCTAAATACCCGACTACGCTATCTTGTATCGCAATTAGCAATCCTCTGAGTTATTGGTCCATGGTTCTAATCTAGGACGTGAACTATCTATCCTGCTAATTCGTTCAGCCGTTTCAGCGCGTTTGAGATAAAACACGCAAATTCTATGATATTATGGTTGCCAGTCCTTTGTTCCTCAATAAGCTTACAGTAAATTACAGGTTATAGTGGTACCGCATTCACATAACGACCCAGGATGGCTGAAGACGTTCGAACAATACTTCGAAATAAAAACTAAAAACATCTTAAACAACGTTGTTACGAAGCTTGATCAGTACTCCAATATGACTTTTATATGGACTGAGATATCTTTCCTCAACGCCTGGTGGGAACGATCCCACCCTATCAAGCAAAAAGTAAGTCACATAACCAACTTTAGTTGTAAATATATAGCATTAATACTGCCAGTAGGGCCAGAGCGAGATAAAGCGCGAGATACTGCTCTCCTCGCACACAGTGTCTCGCGCTTTATGTCGCTCTCGCGCAACTCGCGCCAAATCGTGCTACCGCTCAGGTACAGGTATTGCATAAAATTATTTTTATTTTGTAAGTATATGATTTACAATTCCTCTTGATGACTGCGTACTAGATACGACTGTGGTACTAGTACTAGACGAAAAGGTCCCGGGTTCGATTTCGGGTAGAACCTATTTGAGAACAAACGTTTCTAAACTGTTTCTGGTCTGTATGTTCTGGGTAGTGCCCCCAAGTTAACATTAATCTGGTGTTCATAGTATAGGGAATTCAATAGTTTGGCACATGAATTTTTTTTGTGCATCTTTGGGTTGTCTTATGTACCACAATCAACGTGTTCTGGTGGTGTGGTGCTTTTTTCAGTACCTAACGTTTCTGTGTAGATTTTAAACTTGACTTATTATCCCGAGGGTAAACTTTACAGGCTCTCAAAAAGCTGATCAAAGAAGGCAGGGTTGAAATTACTGCAGGCGGCTGGGTGATGCCTGATGAAGCTTGCTCCCACATATACTCTATTATTGATCAGTTCATTGAAGGTAATATACTATTTACCCCAATTGTTGTTAATATTAGTTTTGTAATATTTATTAATATGTGTACAGCCTTCTTGTATTCACACTGGTTTTTGTGGTTTCAGGCCATGAATGGGTTAAAAACAATCTAGGTATAATACCGAAAACTGGATGGTCTATCGATCCCTTTGGTCATGGACCCACAGTGCCTTATATGCTGGACAAAAGTGGCCTTGAGGGAACCATCATCCAAAGAATTCACTACGCGTGGAAGCAGTGGCTCGCTAAACGCCAAATCGAGGAGTTCCACTGGATGCCAGGATGGTCTAGTAAGAAGCCATCTCTCATCGTTCACAATATGCCTTTCGACATTTATTCCATAAAAGCGTCGTGCGGCCCACATCCGTCCGTTTGCTTGAGCTACGACTTCAGGAAGATTCAAGGAGAGTACTCTGAATACACCGCGAAGCATGAAGAAATAACTGAACAAAATCTCTACCCTAAGTCCAAGACTTTGATAGAGGAGTACGGGCGCATAGGTTCATTAACTCCACATAACGTCGTGCTAGTTCCCTTGGGTGATGACTTTCGATACGAATATAGCGCTGAATTTGACTCGCAATATAACAATTACATGAAGATGTTCAATTACATTAACGATCATAAAGACTTATTTAATGCCGAAGTTAAATTCGGAACGCCTCGCGAATATTTTGATGCAGTAAAAGAGCGACAGAAGTCTGTCCCTACATTGAAAGGTGACTTCTTTGTGTACTCGGAGATATTTAGCGAAGGAAAACCTGCATATTGGTCGGGTTATTATACAACAAGACCTTATATTAAGATTTTGGCTCGGCAGCTTGAACACCAACTGAGAACTTCAGAGATTCTATTTACACTGGTGTCGAATCATGTTAAGCAACAGAAAAACCCGAAGCTGGTAGCTTCAGAGAAAAGACTGGAAAAATCTTATGAGCAACTTATAAATGCTAGGAGAAATTTAGGCCTGTTTCAGCACCACGATGCTATAACAGGTACTTCCAAAGCGAGTGTTATGTACGACTATGGCAGTAAATTGTTCGCCAGCCTCTATCATTGCATACGCATACAAGAGGCGGCGTTAGCGATCGTTACGTTGCCCAATTCAACCCTACACTCTCAGAATATAATTCAGAGTGAAACCGAATTTGAAACGTACGGAAAGTCGCCCAAAAAACTTAAACTTATGTTTTTTGACACGAAAAAAATTATTCTATTCAATCCTTTAGCTCAAGCCAGAACTGAAGTGATCAATGTAAGAACAAATACAACAAATGTTAGGGTATTGGACATGCGAACAAATGAATACGTCCAATATCAAATTTCACCAAATATAGATGTTCGCGAAGACGGCCGACGAACAATAAGTGATAAAGATTTCGATTTATTGTTTGTTGCGACGTTGCCAGCACTTACTGCAGTTACTTTCCATCTGGAAGTACACATGAACACGTCGCAACGCAGTATAGTGTTTTGCAACAACTGCCAAGATCAAAATTCTAAGACAGAGCGAGAGGATGTTTTTACTTTCAAAAAAATGATGCCTGGCGACATACAGCTCGAGAACTCTGTTTTGAAACTACTGATAAATAGAAACACAGGGTTTTTGAGACAGGTGTACAGAAAAGACATAAAGAAAAAACACATCGTTGATATCCAATTTGGTGCATATCAGAGTGCACAAAGACATTCCGGGGCTTATCTGTTTATGCCCGATTACGATGCTCCAGAAAAGAATGTTTTACTGCAGTATGCGAACTGGAACAGTCTTTACGATGATAACATAATTATCGTATCTGGGCCAATATCAACGGAAATAACTACGATGTACATGCCGTTCTTAGTTCACACGGCTAGGATATACAACGTCAATGACGAGGCTCTCTCACATGGAGTTCTCTTTGAAACTGTTGTGGACTTTGAAAGCCCTCCTAAGAATAGAGAAACTGAGCTATTTATGCGTATTCAAACGGACATTCAAAATGGAGATATTCCAGAATTTTACACTGATCAAAACGGCTTTCAGTACCAGAAGCGAGTAAAAGTCACCACACTAGGCATAGAGGCTAATTACTACCCGATAACTACAATGGCGTGGTTGCAGGATGAAGACACTCGTTTGACGATGATAACGAATCATGCCCAGGGCGCCGCTTCATTCGAACCTGGCCGTATAGAACTCATGCTCGATCGTCGAACGTTGTACGACGACTATAGAGGGATTGGAGAGGGCGTTGTCGATAATAGGCCAACGGTGTTCCATAACTGGATGTTGCTCGAATCGATGTCACCTCTAACGAGGCGAAAACGAGAGGCGAGTGAACAACAGTTTATATATACGAAGGAACGACATTTTAGCCCTGACCAGAAAGAGTCCGTGTATCAACTACCTTCACATGCTGCCGAGTATCTAAGTAAAACGCTCAATTACCCTGTTAATATTTACATGTTAGACACAAGTGAAGTTGGGGAGGTTGTAGTTAATTCGCATAATAGCTTTGTTGAACAGTTTCCCACTGGTATTCACCTGGTGACGTTGCGTACTATCACGGACGACATCTTGGAGCAATTCCCCAGTTCCTCTTGTTACATGGTGTTGCAAAGACCTGGATATAGTTGTTCCGTGGGTAACACAACGTCCACAAAATCGTCTATTTTCTCTCCGAACACTGCATTCAAAGGCGTTAATATAACCGATTTGACTTCAGTATCACTGACTGGCCTAAAAACGTACCGCTCATTAGCCGAAATGACTGAAATCGAGCTGGAGCCTATGGAAGTGAAAACCTATAAAGTGCAGTTCTAAAGACTGTTAGGTTTAAGAATAATATATATTTATAATTAATTTTATATCAACATCAACAGAAGTCTCAGAACGTGATTTTATTGAGCATAATTTTATTGATAGTGAGAAGGGTATGATGCGGTATTACAAGTAGGTCGTATTTTTTGTTGCGACTTACTTGGATAATGCGAGAAGTGTTACCGGCGTTATACGATATTGAAAGAATGGAGAAGTATTAATTTATTTAAAGCGAGCAGGAACTGACCGGTCCTGCCCCTTCCTATCAACAAATCATTTATCAGTGCAATTTAGATGTACCTACAAAGCTACCTCAGAATCAAAAGTTAATGTCATTGAAACATTAGTTTAGTTGAAATATTAGTCTCGATGTTGAAATTCTAATTCTTCTATCTCCAACTTTTAAGCAAAGTACCTGCAATCAATTTGCATAAGTTTAATGTAGAAAAACAACGAATTCTGAATTAATTTGTATGAACATAGTTAAACAATTGGTGTTTGCATACAGCTAAGAGTCGTATTCTAGAACTCTACTCAATGCTCAAGTCAGGATTTGAGCAGACTTGAGTATGATTTCAAGAACTGGAAATACGATCCTAATCGCAAGGACTTGAGTATGATTTTCAGTGCTCACTGCAATACTCAAGTCCTGACTTGAGTATTGAGTAGAGTTCTGGAATACGACCCTCCGGAATACGACCCTTAGAGTCGTATTCCAGAGCATCAGTTTCTTTTAAGTTTTTATATAAATTAATTCAACAACGAGATCTCGACTGTTATTTAATAAAATATTTTGTTTGGTCTGCATCATAATAAAAACGCTCAGATTATTTGAGTTATTGTGTGTCGGCTATGTAAGTTAGGTCAGCTTATAAGTACATTTTTCTTATATTATAAGAGTTTATTAGATCTGATAACGCTTTCATACGTATCATATATCTATTGGATGATTGTCGATTGGTCTATATCATAGAAAGCTGTTCTTATGACGGCTGTGTAGCAGGCAGCTTTATAATTAGTCACTTTTTAATTGTATAAAAATGGGGTGAATACAAGATAACTGGTGAAATATTTTTTGCACCTAATGTATTGTAAAAGGATGACGGAATTAACTAACGTTAATAACACCATGTAACACGGTTTTTTAAGAAATACTTTATTTTCCTGCAATAACTACTTTTGTGGTCAGGACAACGAAAAGTTTAAATTTGCGTACGTTAAGGAAACGTAAACGTATTCCGGTTTCTCTTTATTTAAAGTCAAAAAGGGAACATTATATTTCAAATCAATACTATATTTCAAATTAATACCATATTTCAACTAAAAATCCACAAATTGACGAGAAAGAAATGTGCAGATTTGCGAGATTATGTAAATATCGCCATGTAGCCATGTTAATAGGCATCTATGCCAATACCACTGTGATGTTCACAAACGCAAAGTATCAGGGATATAACTACTCTTTTCTACATAATCGCTGCTCAATTAAACAGAATCCAAAACTGTGAAACCAGAAACAGAACCTTTTTGAGAATTTGTTACATAATTTAATCAGCCTTAGTTGTTTGACTTCATTTAATTTCGTTTCTTCCAAATTGTGTGTACGTTTATTTGACGCAAAAGTTCTAAAGTATTCTTCATTATCTTTCGATTGCACGTGGTTTTTGCGCCACGTTGTCATCGCATGGTCGACTTTTTCCTTGCGTCTATCTTATTATATAATGGGTGCATGTTAGGCTTATCTATCATCATAAGACATACGGCGTCTAACATTTACCAAATTTAGGCGTAGTTGAACTACACATGTAAACTATTAGGAAAGTCTACTGCCTTGTATGGAAACAGCTACTTTCGTGAGATTGCCTCCAAGGGAGATGCGCGAGCAGTTGGGTTCTTACTCCATCTTTGAAGAGATATGGAGTTACTGTTCGCGATGTTAACGACTTAGACAAACTGGATATGCGACCAATGAGTTTTCAATATCTCGACTCGCGCCTGTGCGTGAAATACACGAGAATGGCGTGCGAATTTGAAACTCACGCAATGCTTGGGGGTGCCTTGTAACGTAGGTCTTTCTGGGTAAAGCCTGCGGATCAGTTGGATGGTCATACTAGTTGAGCTATAATATATTGGCTTAAATATTGTCTTGGTTTTACCTTTTATTTAAAGACAATAAAATAGTTTTGACTTATTTGTATTTTAGTGTATTACAGCTCGACGAGTTGTACCATCTATTCGATCCTTGTGTAAAAATGAAAAATTTTACTCTAGTATCAATTTACAAGTATTCTTTTATTTTGTCATTTTTTTCCACAAAGATAAATAATCATACATTAGTCATAAAATGCCTATCTACAGTTTGCTTCACATAAAACTTCTAATTTAAAAATAATAAAAATAAGTATAGTACATGTTTAACATTATTTATTCTAATTTAGTATTCTATTAATTATCTAAGTTCCAAATATGCGTTATCATATTGTTTTATATTGGGAAAACTCTCGTTTATTTATTTACCAATTATTGTGTATATATAGATGTGTTTGTACATACCAATAATTTTACTTCTATAAAATATTGTGTTAATTTAACAAGTTCAACACTATTCCAGAGTAAATGAGATAATGTTGTTGGATATGTTGCCACTAATAAGTTAATTGATCTGTAACATATACTTGATAGTCTTTTCATAATGTTAATTCTGCCATGGCATTATAGTGAGTTTGTCTTCTGAAACCAATGTCGACACTTTATCCTTTTGTATGTATTTTTAAGATTACCCGAAAGCTGTAGGGAGCACCTCGCATCCTATATTACCATGACATTTATAATAATAATAAATATACCATTAATTAATACCACATTGTTTTTACCAAATATTTTTATTTATTTTTTGTATTAAATTATATTGTGATAACGTTTGATAATAAGCATTTATTTGTACATAGAAGAATGTCAGTTGTTGTTGTAATATTTACATTGTCTAATTCATCTATCAGGTAAAGAAAAACATAGCAAATTTCGTAACAATTTAATTAGTCTTTGCACCCTGTGTTGTGTAATAGTTGTGTCTATGTCATTATTTGGTTGTATTCACCTGTTAATATAGGGACTACATTCATACTAAATGTGTACAATTTTGTTTCCAGAATTGAAGAGTAGATGAAATAAAATCTAAAGGTACATATAAATATGTTTTATTTCTCTAGACATCCATGAATATCAAACAACGCTGATCAATTCTGATAATTAATTTTATTACACCTTATCCAGTTACTTGTTAATTGAATCGCTTAACGCGTTATTAAAAATATAATCAAGTGTAACATTAACATTCATACTTATCTACCTACCTCGTAACTAAATGACTATGACCGACAATTATCTTTTTAATAAATGAATTCACCTGCGAGATATATTAAAAGTGTGGGTCCTACGGACAGAAATTAATAATAGCCTATATGTATAACATTTGTGGAGTCATCCGTCAATTATCTCTAGTCTGCGTTAATGCTGCAGTTGGGAAAATGGCTCCAGATTATTGTTGCTATATAAGCACAAGCCTTAATTCGCCGGATGCTGTATGACGGGTCACGATGGTATGTATTGAATGTCGTATTAGTGAATGGAATCACTTCTGTCGTATGTAAACGCAATTAAGTTTACACCCTATACTGCGCAATGCAGACAAAGTTCTCTATTTTTTTTAATAATAACCAAATACATACAGCTAGTATGGGATCATGTTCTGCATCCGCGCACAAAAACCAAATTTGTCAGCATAACGTCTTATGCCCAATTTAAATGGTCGCGAATTTTTGTTACCACAACGAACTTTATGTCAGTGGCGTGGTGTACAAATCCACGAATTTGTCAAATAGCGAATGCGCCGAATCAAGAATCTGTCGAATCCAGAATTTCTCCTATACTAAGCAAGAAACAAAAAACAAGTCGCGTGTCTTCCAGAGAATTCCCGGAAATACCGTATCTGGGGGTTTACTCATGTTCTCCGTCTGACATCCGTCTGAAACAATTACTGTCAAATAAGTCTATAGTAAAAGACGCATAATGCGAATGAAGCTTCCTACTTGACATTGTGAGCTCTCAAATTATATTTTTGTAATGTCATTAAAATATACATATCCGTCATTGTGAATAAAAACCGCCGAAGTATTTTAATAACCGGCAATCTATCTCACCACCGCTCCACATGTCTTTCAACCCTGACATTGGCAATATCGTCGCGAAAAACGACGGAGCCATAGACACAAAAGTTGAAGTTGAAGTTGACATTGTCTTTTGTTTTGGTCGAGTATTACTTATTTGTCGGACAGAGAACGGGAGTAGAGTAGACCCTGGTTTTGATTTGACACAATTTGTTTCTGTAATAGTCTGTGTAATACTCTGTCGTTATCGATTTGTAGATCTGCTCTCAGTGAATTCTGTCGAAATTCAGCGGTCAATTTTTGAGTAAAAACGCGTGTGTTCCTCAACTTGACATTGGCGAAATCATCGATTACTTCGATAGGACCGTAACATTAAAAAAAAGAAAAAGTTACACAATTGACATAAGTCTATAACATGTAAGCACATTTTCGTTACCTACAAAAATTCATTACCGATCATTGACTTACAATTATATGGACGTCGGGTCCGCGCTAAAAAGTGTCCGCACTTGTAAGGCGCTAAAATCGTATACAGAGCGCCAAACTCCGCTTTAGTCTTCATTTGTTCGACTGACAGCGCGATACTGCGATGACAATTTAAATTTCGAATAGGTTGACTTGGGACATTTTTTCGTGGTTTTTGGTCGTCCATTTATTTGTAAGTCAATGTTACCGATCAACGGATCCGCGCCAATGTAAATTAAGCCTTATAGTGTAAAAAAGATACTTAACATGTTAATTCGTTCGATGAATTTAACCTATGCTACAGGATAATTAGTTATTTTATGTCATCGGTCATTTTCATTTACCACACAATGTTTACTGAAGTTTAGTAGGCTACGTACATATGATATAGGAATGAAAGGAAATTCATTTCTTCTTAATTCTACTCGCTATCCACTCTAAGCCCAGATGTAATCTGCAAAGAAAATGTCTTTACATAATTAATAAAAACAAATAATTTAAAAAATACTAAAATAAATTGAGACAAATATTAAGGTTTTGATTTTGCCATTTGGCTTTGGATACTCAGGAGGACCAACAAAAGAACACAGTTGTGAATGAATGGGGACTATTTAAAGTAAATTTCAACGTTAATTTTCTGATTTGGATAATTTAAGACAGCATACGAAGTGAATTCAATAGTTGATCGTCTAAGACGTTATTTTGCCGTAAATCATATTAAACATAAGCATCTACAACGCGTAAACATGGAGTCATTACTATGTTATATGTTTGCTTTTAGGGGCACATTAAAACTTCATGTAACAGGATACGTCAAACTGTTCTCATCACATCGTTCTTGCCCACTGTCACTTCGGCGATCTAAGTGCGAGCGAGACAGATATTAAGACATTAATATTTATGTATGATAGATAGCCCACAACTCAGTATCTGCCGCACTAGAGTATTGATAATTTGATAATTTTATTGCTAAAAGATATTAAGAACGGAAATGTACCCTTCTCCAGTAAGTGCGCAGCATGCCTGTATGTGCCACGGGTGTTGTTTAATGGAAGTCAAGTCTAATTGTTCCGATATCTCCGCAGCCGTCATGGAACCTTTCACGTCCTGCAGCATGATAAATAGAGTTATGCCTCCCTGTGTAACACTTTACATAATAGAATCAGAAATAATCTTAAAAAAATATTTGGAATATCATCGTAGTAGTAGAATAGTATAGTAGTATATAAGTATATAATAGTAGTAGTAGTGTTCGGAAACAAGCTCATCACCCCTTAAAGCAACAAAATGTACCAATATTTGTCGAAAATGAATTCGGGTTTAGACGATACAAATTTAATGGCACCCTTTCGAGCTGCAACTGAACTCACGACTGGATGCGACTCACAGTTCATTATTTTTGACAAGCAACCAACCAGTGTTCACACTCATCACACCGGAATCACACGATACTCGCATTTGAGCTCGTTCGGGTTCCGTTGCAACTTTAAACCGATTCCGGGTTCGATACTATAAACCCCGAAAATCACGTCGAATGAGCTTCGTTGTTGCGAACGAATTCTCGTCAGATTATCTAATTTAAATCATTTGATTTACGACGTGTTAGTTTCCATTTATTAGCAAATAACCTGCTTTTAAGACTGTATAACTTGACAGTATCGAACAAAGAAAGAGAGAGTATCTAATTTATTTGGGCATGACCCTCGTATTTGTAAAATACCATCGAGTGTACACTTGTATACTCGATGTAAAACACTAACAACCTCGCCGGACTATATTACTAAAATTATAAACAACAACTTTTGTTCCATGTCTTATAATAATTCTTCCGATTTTTCTTTAGTACAAAAATAAAAATATTTAAATATCTCGCTGTCAATGGTGATAACTCTGAGAGATAGCAAAAGAAAGCGCTGGCTAAATACCAGTCCGATGCTAAACGCAGGAGCGGGGTTGGGGGTCGTCGGGAAGGACGCCTGCATGTTTGAACTTACTACTAATCTTACTACCAAGACGTACGTTTGAATACGTTTTGTAAAAAGTCATAGACGAAATGTTGTTCATTATGATGTTAGGAATTTAATCATGCGAGGTTGCTAGTATTTTACAAATAACCTTGTATACATGCCCATATATCTGCCGTCCACTAACTAAAAGGCGGCTAAGTGACAAATGGTCAGATATCCGTTTTCAATAGCGAAAGATAGAACACAAAATGTACTCTTTTAAAAACAGTTAAAATTAGTTAACGTGTTCGACTTATCGAAACTTACCGTAACGACGCGTAGCTGAAATATCATTAAACAGTTTCAATATTCTAAAACTGGGTTATGGTTTTGTATGATATCTCAAAAAAATATTTTGTCACTAAGCCGCTTTTTAGTTAGCGAACGGCAGATATACGCTATAAATATTTCAACAACACGTTCGCAGGTGGCCAGAATGGCCATAATGCACATATGGATTGATCTTTATAGACATACGTGCTTTCTGTTTATTGTAATATCACACTTATTGGACATTGAGTAATACTACTGCGTAAAACATGCTTACGTAAATCTATACTTAAGTAAATAAACCTGCACAAATAATTAAAATAGTACGTAACACAGTATTATTCACATATTAGTTTTACGTATGCACAGTGGCATATTTACGCAAATTGGCCTGGGCCTAGGGTCCCGCAGTCCATGGTGTTCCCTAATTCATGTGGACCTTACGAATTTTTTACTAAAATTAAATCATAGTAATCTTTCAAAGTTCGTGTATGAGACAAGTGGTTTACATGACTATAGGGCTCTAGTAATATACAGTGTCACGGGTCACCATTTGGCAAAAGATGGCACCACATGTAGTATCTACACAAACTATAGATGGCCAGAATCCTCTTTACTAGAATAGACCACTATGCCCAAATCATATTATGTATTAAATAGTGCAAAAAAGGACAAAGTGGAACTTTTAAAGTTAATAACTATATTTTGACGCAGATTCTACAACTGTTATCACCATATGTACATACAACCAAAAAGCTACTTTGAACCTGGTCTCAAACTAAAAATTCTGCATACAAATTTTTGTACTAAATAAGTACTATTACAGTTATTCTAAGGTGCATGAAGACTAAACGTGACTATATACTGAAGTAAGGTATCAATGACCTATCTGAGGTAATTCATGAAATAGGTTAGATATTCACCTTTCAGGATTCAGGCGTTCCGGCTGCTAGGTGATGCAAAGTAAGAAAATATCAAAGAACTCACCTGTTTGTTTGCAAAAACAAGAAGACAGGCCTTGCTCAATTCTTCATGTGTCAGCATTCTGTGCAATTCTTCACGGCTTATACTGAGACGTTGTCTGTCAGTTGAATCAATCACCATTATAACAAACTGTAACAATTTAAGAGGATAAAGTACTACTAACGAATTGAAACAAATTCATACAAACATGCAGGTTGATAACAGAAAATGCAAAGGATATTATTTAGTAACCATATAAACTCATTCACAACAGGTAAAGATTTTACAAGCAGAGTTTCCTACTTTAATTAGAATTAATTAAGATTGGTATAAAACAGTCTTTATAAGCACAATGGAGCAACAGCTACAAGGTTTAACCAATAATTGATAAATAACAAAACAGCTTTCGCATGTAACAGGCTCATATATCATTAACTGTCTTTTTCAAAATCCCTCCAAACATTCGCAAGAGCATGTCTACAATATAATGATGTCATTGTTCCTGTAGTAAATTATGTTCAAAAATTAATCCACAAAAAATTTTAAGATACAGTGACACACTGTTGACTGTATAGCAATGCGTTTGTTGATAGGTCAATGATTATGGTACAATAAAACAAAGAAACCCAAATGGGCTAACTTGCTGCGAATTTGTGTTTGGCAAATAACATCGAGTCATATAGACATGTGCGCAAAATAAATAAATAACAAGAAATTTATTGCAACATGTCTGTGCCAATTATTTTAATGAGCAATATAACCTCAAAGACTTAAATTCTTGATATTACAACAACATAATCACATAATTGCAAATGATAAAATAAAACCAACCATAAATTATTTAAACAGACTTTAGAAAATATAAACCCATGGCCACTTTTTTATCTCCTACAGTGGCTGCTGGTGGATTCGCAGCATGTCAACATCTAAGATTAAAAAATGTCAGATAAATTAGAGATAAAAATAGTAGATTTATGCACAAACACACTACGCTTCATGCCAAATGCTTACACCTCCACCTTTCACTTCATGGGTTTAAAAGTTTAATATAAAATAAATAGCCAGCAATTTGTTCCATCTAATCACATTTGATCTTTATGGTCATATTTGGTGTTTACGCAAATAGTTCCATTTAGTAATGTCCAAGTAATGTACAAGTACATTAATAATCACTTGTTAATTTATTACACTTATTGAACATGCAAATATTAAATTTATACAAAATTACAATAGTAATATGTATGTTACACCTAGCAGTTTAGTTACAAATAAATAAGGTTATCAACATCCAACATTCAAATACTATAATTACATAGACCAAAATTATAGATTTAGATGTATGTAAAAAATTACTAGTGTTCCTTGTTATTTACTTGTTTATTATTAATTGATGAGCTTCAGAACAAAAACCGATAAATATGATTAATTTTGATTCTCATTTCATCTAGTTCCATTAAATGGATTTATAGCATTTTATAAAATAATACATATTTTTAAAGAGGATTTAGCAGTTGTTCAGATTAGTTTGTAGAAACATACAAAAACTGACATTTGGCATTACAAGAACACAAAAATTTTTTTGATGCTCCTCACTTAGTATATTAATGTCATTTTGAGCAGCATCACACTTATGTCTTGTTATATTTTAAGTTTATGTGAGGATAGCACATATTTAGTTATACTTTGTTGAATTACCTCACTATTTGTATAGTAGGTGTTCCAGGCAGAACGTAAGCTCTGCTGTCCACCAAGATCCCACATGACAAAACGCAAGTTTCGCCACACAACTTCTTCTACATTAGAGCCAATGGTAGGTCTAGTGTGGACAGCTTCTCCCAACAACAGCTGATATAGAATTGTTGTTTTTCCTGTATTGTCCAGGCCGACTAAAACTAGTTTATGTTCTGCAATAAATAAATCATTCATAGTAAAGATTGTATCAGCAAAACCAAAGATTATGCTTCAGATAGAGATGGAACGAGGATTATGAAACATGGACTAGGAGCAGGAGATGGTTCAAAGTTTCAAAGGTATAAATCATTTATGATCACACTGAAATGGACATATTGTATGCACATTTACTACTACCATTGTGCTTGATTACAATTCACAATCTACTAAACTGTGGGTAGGAAGCAGAAACGCGGAACTTTTGACGCTTTAAATGTAGTGTCGTCAGTTGTTCTCAATTTAAATAATTGTTCAAGGATGTGTACTTAGGATGTGTACAATTCAGCTATCTTATCATCTACTTGACTACGACTTCGTCATGGAATTCAACCTTCACCTACCTTCATTCCCGAATAAACTCCATATTTTAGATATTAGTAATCCCATTATCAAAAACCTTTAAAAACCTAATTATACGAGAAGACAAAGGTTGGAAGGCAAACTACTTGCAAATGCAATTTATTGTTTTTCGTGACATTTGTGTCTCACGCACGCTCTATAAAACTGTAAATATGTTTCACATCAAAAATACATCTTACATTCCTGAATTCACTGCACTATTTTTTAATTAAATGCATTTTTTTATGCTTTTTACAAAAAATATGTTACGCATAAATAAAACCTTTCGTTTTTCTCACTGACTTGCTCTTTGCTGACTTGACTACGCGTTCCGATTTACGCACAGACATGGAATTTGAAGTGAGGTTCCTACAATATTTTTATAATTTAAGGAGTGAGGCACAAATCACTGAGACAGCGTAGTGACGTCTTCGTTTTTTTTGTATTTTTTATAGCTCTGGATACAAACAAATTTAAATAGTGTTATTTTAGTAATTTACCGAAAAAATTTAAATATAATAGAGGAACTTTTCAAAATATTTTTCTGAAAAATTAAACAATCGAAAAATATAATTCTAAGTCTTATTTTTTGTTAGTTACATTTTTTGAAGTTTTATTTAGAATGGATTATAAAATATAGATTGAGTTCCTAGTTGGAGTAAAACGAGATTTAAAATGTTTGGACAAGAACAAAAAAGCCAGAAGCGAAAAAAAAATTACCTTCAGCTGTTGCCGGTGAAGTTATTTCACCATATTCATAAATAGAGTAATTATCTTGCATCGAGTATAGTACCGATATACTAAATCTATGTCAAAATATGATGGTCAAATAATTCCGTATGCTGATGTCACAACAGGAGTAGTCAGTGCGCGCACATACGAGCAACTCAATCAAAAAATTACTACAGTATGCCAACAATTACAAGATGGTTTTTAGGAAATGGTTTGATTCTCAACATCAATCAAATATTATGCTTTTCTCTGGTAGGCACGTTCCGAGTGTGAGTATCCAGTGTCCTATCACGATGAGTGACAAATGCAAAATCTTGGGTTTTACGTTGGATCCTACCTTGAATTGGAAACAGCATGTAGACTCGCTATGTGACAAGCTGAGTAGTGCAATGTTTACTCTGCGTAAACTAAAACAGTTGGTGTCTTGTAATGCGTTGAGGCGCAATGTTTACTCTGCGTAAACTAAAACAGTTGGTGTCTTGTAATGCGTTGAGGCAAGTGTACTTTGCTCCCTCGAGGTGTGTTGCCGGTGGATCGAGCAGCGCCGCACTCTGGTGGCGACAATAGGGAGGGACCTCTCGCTGCCCAGCGTGGTCGCGGCCATGCTGCGGGACGAGAGGTCCTGTGACGCGGTGACCTCCTTTTGCGTGGAAGTGATGACGCAAAAGGAGGCGGCGGAGCGGGAGCGTGAGGACGCGCCTGACGCACCCCCGCTCCGGCGCAGACGGGCGGGGAGGAGGCGGCGGCAATTTGCCGCTCAACTCCTTCCCCACTGAGGCCAGCGGACAGGGACTAGGGCCCCCTGTTCGCATTGCACGGCCTCAATCGTCTGAGGAGAGGGGCGGAGAAAACCGATCCTCTCCTCCATAGGCGCGGGAGCCCCGGCATAGTGGCCGGGGCGGCCGGGCGGCGTCGTGGTGAAATAGAGATGATCCCACGGCGCCGGCACAAACCCGGCGAGAGGCAAATCGACGGGGTTTAGTGGGTACACCCCTGCGTCCATGCGAGACCCAGGAGCAGCGCCCTTTTCAGGGCGCCGGGACTCCCACATAACCTCCGAACCGCCCGGGCTCGGGGGTATCCATAAAGGATTCCCCACCGTTAAAAAAAAAAAAGGTGTACTTTGCTCACTTCCACTCGATTATGACTTATGGTGTTATTCTGTGGGGCAATTCGACAGACGCTGACAGGGTGATGCGTATACAAGAGCGATTGTTACGACCTATAGTCGGCATAACCCAGAGGCAATCCTGCAAGGCGCTGTTTGGTGTACACCGAATAATGACCCACTACTCGCAATATGTTTTTGAGGTCATTATGTTCACGCGGAAGCACTTAGCACAGTTTGGGCGAGCGGAGGTGAAGGCTGGGAACGGGAGCCTCAGTCGTGCGGGACAACTACGATCAGTCGCACTGCACTTCACGAAAAAAACCCGTGGGTTATATGACCAATCCGGTATGAGCACCTACCTGCCGAACTAAAAAACGAATATTGTGAGGAAACTTTCAAGTGCAGGTTGAAGAACCTTTTATTGGAAAAGTTCCTTCACTCAGTAACAGAGTACAGTCAAAGTACATAATAAATAATTAAATTATTATATTTATTATTGAATTTCACATTCACCGTATTATTGTACTGTAATATACATTTATTAGTTATTAAGAATCCATATTGACAAGTCCTGCATACACTTCACATTGTTATTTTAATTCAATTATTTATTAGTTTCATTAATTATGTTGATTTTGTATATGTACACTATTGTGTATTTATGACTCACTATTATATAATTATTTTTTCATTATTTGTATACTAAAAAATAAATGAAATGATTATTTATTTTCTCAACACAAGAACTTAAACTAATACAAATTTCATTAGACTAACAATATGAGAAATTGAAACACTTGTGAGAGACTGGAGACCGTACTAGGCAACTAAACCTGTATTACAGCTCACCAGGCCCTCGCCCTCTCAGACTAGTCTTATATAAAATCAAGAAAAGGAATAAAAGAACTGTTGAGAATACAAAATTAACTTAAAACTAACATGCAAGTTAATGTGTGAAGGTTTAAATGTGCGTTATTGTAAGTGTGTGTATGTGTGTGTGTATGTGTGTGTGTGTATGTGTGTGTGTGTGTTTAAGTATGATGAGTGCACGCGCGGGGTGGCGTGCGTGCGTGCGTCCGTGTGAGAAAGCATGTGTCAGTGTATGTATGTGTGTTAGAGGTTGTCAGATGTCAAATTAGACAAGAATGGCAATAAGATTTTCAGTTTCAGAATAATCTAGTTTTTGCAGCCAATGAGAAATTTTATATTTACACTTATATTTGGTAAGTTTATAAATGTGTAATGAAAAATTTATTTTGTTATACAAATAACCACCCTGAAAACAGAAGAAGCGCTGTGCAAAGCTGCTATTAGCGGCGAATGGTGGGAAAACTGCGTGTTTGCGGCGTTTATTGCATATAGAGTCCGGATCGTACTCAACTAGGGAGTGTGCGTTCCAGTTTTATAAGATTTGTATTAGCCGCACCGCCCCAACTAGTAACACAATATGTTAGAAGAGATTGACATAAGGCCAAATAGACCGTTTTTATGACGCAACTGTCCGCAACATGACGTAATTTCTTAAAAACAAAATTAAGTTTTCTAATTCTTGAACACAGGGCATCAATGTGCGCTTTAAAAGTTAAAGTACAATCTATCAGGATACCTAAATATTTAACACACTCTGATTGGACAATGTTGGGACAATTACAAATACGGGAATCGAAGGAGCTACAGCAATGGGCAAGGATACGATAGGTGTTTTGATTGGGTTGTGTTGCTTTTGTCTTACTAAAAGTGATAAGATTTGTCTTTTCAATGTTTAGAGTGAGCACGTTACACTTTAACCATTTAGATACTGAATCAAAACCTAATTGAGCATAACGGTAAACGTCAGACCATGTATTCGCATGAAATATCAGGGCAGTGTCATCCGCATATGTAAAAACTTTACCACATAACAAAGGGAGCCTACAAAGGGAATCAATATAAACTAAAAATAGGGTGGGACCCAGGATACTTCCCTGGGGGACACCGTAAGTTATAGGAAGTTCATTACTAGTCCAATCGTCAATTTTAACAAATTGACGTCTATCAGTCAAATAGCTTTTAAAAATTTGTAACTGAATATCCCTTACACCAAGCATCTCTCATTTGGAAATGAGCAGCGGAACTGAAACTGTGTCGAAAGCCTTGGATAAATCAAGAAAAATACCAAGAAGTTTTTGTTTTTTATCAATTTTATTTACTATAAAATTTGTTACTTCATGGACAGCATCGTTAGTTGAGAGGCCAGGGCGGAAGCCAAATTGTGAATCAGATAAAAGGTTATTTCTTTCCAAATAATTAATCAACCTTGAATTTAAAAGTCTTTCCAAAATTTTTGACAAAGTAGGTAGGATAGAGATAGGCCTGTAATTGTCGACACAGTTTCTGTCTCCTTTTTTATAAATAGGGATAACCAGGGCAAGCTTGAAGGCATCAGGGAATACTCCAGTCGAGAAGGCCAAATTACAAATAAAAGTAATGGGTGATATAAAAACATGTTTTAACCTTTTAAGTAACGCTCCAGAGATGCCATCATTTCCGACGGCGCAGTCGCATCTTAGGTTATTAATCAGTGATTCAATCTCATGTTCATCTGTAGGAATCAAAACAAAACTATTGGAAAAGGGAGAAACATTGGAATTTAACCGAGAGTAACTAGTAGAGTCTATATTGCTGGCAAGTTTTTGCCCTACATTAGCAAAAAATGTATTAATGGCATTAACGGAGGTTTTTGGATCGAGGTTTGGAGATGTAATTAGTGCCGATGCCGATGAAACAGATTTAGAAGTATTTGTAATCGTTTTTATAACATTCCATATTTGTTTACTATTCTTATTTGCTTTTTTTATTTCAGTTTTTTCAAATTCGTTCTTGGCCTTTTTCAGAATAGCAGAACAGAAGTTTCTATAACGAGTGTAGGTTTTTTTAAGCATGTCATTATTAGGAGATTTTTTTAATTTTAAATGTATATAGTCTCTGTTTTTAATGCATCTCAACAAACCCGTTGTAATCCATGGTTTTATTGTACGTTTCCTGTTTGGGACAATTTTTAGGACAGAATTGGCAGTAATGGCTCGCCCTATGGATTTGGTAAAATAGACAGTAGCCATGTTTACATCCGTCATATTGTATAAAGGGCTAAAATCAATACTGCCAATTTCACTTTCGAGTGCTGCATAATTGATTTGTCTATATGTTTTACAAGGGTTTGCCGATTTACATGTGGACAGTAGAAAAAGTATCACACTGTCGTGGTCAGTTAAAGACGACTGCACAACATAGCAGGAAGCTGATTTTCGTGTTTTCAAAAGAACATGATCCAAACAAGATCGGTTACGAGTGAACAAATTATGGGCTGGTAACATACCATGGCTGGTTATCAAATTTAGATAATCAGTAGAGCGAAGGTCACTGCTTTCTCCAGAAATATCAATGTTTATATCACCCACCAGGATTATATTTTTGAAGGAAGTGTATTTACACAGCAGGTTGTCCAGTGATACGAGAAAATTAGTGATATTGTGCTCGGAGGGAGGTCTATAAATGGAAGCGACCACAGTGTCCCCGTCAGTAACTAGAACAAGACAGTTAGCATTGGAAAGTGGGTGTTCGGCTACATTGATTTTAAGTTTACTGTTATAATAAACAACAACACCCTCATTTTGAGAATTATGAACACTAGATGCCGCGACGTAATAACCTTCAATATTAGGAATAGGAGGAGACTTAAATAACCAACACTCAGTCAAAATAATGAAATCCCATTCAATTTTAGCTCTATGCAATAATATTTGAAAACCGTCAAAATTGCAGTTAATACTTCTAATATTTTGATTTATTATTTTTAGAGAATTTACCTTGGGGCACAACTTAGTGCAATCATTTATCATGCATGTCGAGAATTCCGCCACTGAAAGTGAGTCCAGATCAGTTCTGAATGTACTTAAATTATCAACTTTTATTCGTCAGTGATTTGAAGTTGTAATGTGAAAAGTCATAACTTATAGGATCATTGTCATTTTAATGAAAATACGGTGTGATCGGGGTATTACTTAGTAAAGCAATATGAAATTAATAGTTAATGTTTGTTTTTTACATAGTTCTAGGTGGTTTGTAAGAGACTGTATAAAGACAAATTTATTAAATAACATAATTTTTATTTTAAAATAAATTATTTATATGAAAATGTCACTTCCCGGGATGTGACCAACCCATATTTTTAAATGTAATTAACTACCTTAATTAATTTTCTAAGTAATACTGCAAAATTAGAATACTACACTAAACTACATTAATATTAGGTTAATCTTAACTATTTATATCTTACCTAAGTGAAAAACTACCTACTAAGAAATAGAATTCAAACATGTGACCGAATTTTTTGTCACATCCATGGAAGAAAGTCACAACGTCTTTTTAACATGGATGCACAGCTCGTATATCCGAACATGTGATGCATAGACAATATAACCAGTGTCATTTCCGAAATCAATTGTCATTTTTACCGGCGAACGCTTGGTTTGTTTGTGAAATAAAAAATAATAAATTAGTTTAAATTCGTCGAGCATAAGTGGTCACAACTGTGTTTAGTTGTAAAAGTAAGTATCTTATTGCATTTTGCTTTTATTACGCTGTTTATAAAGGTTGAATGGTAAAAAAATTATTGACGAAATTATAGCTAGCAGTTGGCTTTTTGAGGTTAGATATTTGCTTTACAAACGAAATTTGTCACATCCATGGATGTCACTTTCATGGATTCCGTGGAAATTTTCTGTCCATGGAAGTGACTAATCTTCCATAGAAGTGAATTTTGATCAGTTTGTGGATGCTGTCTTTTTGAATCGATTTGCAAAAATGGAAGTTCATGTGTAGTAATGACAAGAGGTCAGAATAGGAAAAGTATATTTTCCTAAATTTCAAGTCATCAACTTAGAGTAGATAATATCTACCTCTGAAATCCCTGAATCCGCCTAGTCTGTTCTCTGGTAATATCTTACTCTACTTTTTCTTCAGCGGCGGTTCAGATGACTTTATGAATTTATTCAGTTACGTTTCATTTTTTCTATTTGTTTGCATGTTTTTCTATTTGTTTGCATGTTTTTCT